CTAAAGAACTTTTCCTTATTTTTGGGATCACTTTAATCTAATCTGATGACTCATTCTGCAAACTCTAGAGTTATATCCAGTGGAATAGAGAAAAAGTGAACAAATATGAACCCTCAGAGGCATTTCCTACCTGAGGAATCTTGTAGATGTCCAGGAGAGTCTTCATGCCAAGAGAAGTAAGAGAATCCAGTCCACCAATCACTGCAATCAGCTTCTTCTCCATGTTGCAAATATAGTTTGGAAAGAAATTCTCCAATGTATACAAAAGGAGCATAGTGGAATGATAGGTCCATTTTCCACTATAGTAATTGTCAAAAACTTGGAATCCTAAAGTGATATTGGGAAGTATTTGAGGATTGTCATTAATCTTCTTTATGGCAAAGGACAAAGCCAGGATATGTTGATAATGCTTTGGAAGCATTCTGGAATGAATATTGTATTGTGTATCAAAACAACATAGTCAATATTTTCCTTAGATTATGATTTGTTACATCATATTTATTCTGTAGTATTTTATGGTATTTATTACATTAGGTTTTCAGGTACCATATTTAACCTAAAGTACCATATACTTATAATTTTAATAGAGATTATTATTATTTATAATTACTTTTCTGGAAGACACATTTTAAATAAGATTTAAGTAGGGAAAAATCTCTTCACTTTAAGAAAAACTCTTGATTGCAATTATAGGTTTAGTGAGGAAGTTGATAGTATTAAATAAATTGACTGAATATATTTTATTCTTCCATCTATATGTATATTCAGATGGATCTATATTATATACAACAATAGATCTGTTTGAAATAAGAGCAACTGATAATGATAGCATTATCAATGAATAAAACAAGAAGCTACAAAAAATAAAAAAGGAAATACCTGTGATACAGGATAAAGTAATATGCAATCTAGTCTACAATGGTCAATCCTCTTTAATAAAGCAAATACTTTTTATAAAATGTTATTTTAATATATTTTTAAAGATTTAAAAGTGACACCAAAGCTAATTGTAGACTCATCTGCTTAATTAAAATTTCTTTACATTACATTTAGAAAAATTAAACATAGTGTTTGCACTTTGGTAATGCTGCAATGAATGCTATTTATACAACTTAACAACTCTACCAAAAGACCCCCTGAATTTCATTATTACACTAGCATTGTTTCTACAGTATAATGTAGAATACCAGCATTCACTGCAAGATCAGCATAATTCAATAGCAAATGAAAATGGATTCCTTACATAAACTCTTCAGCCACTGTGGGTGGAGGTTTTGTTCTGAAATCTTTGGCATAAGATAGAAAAACTCCATGAGAGGCTATGCCACCAATGATGAGGTCCCCGGCTTGATGATATTTGTGAACTGGGTACTCGGGATACTGGACATTGCATTTCACAGTAGGAGCTCCATATGGCATATATGACAAAAGGATTAACAGCACTAACCCTGTTTCTGACATCCTAAACTTAAATTAGGAAAATTTCTTCCTGAAAATTTTCTTTTTTCTATTTAGCCATGGTCACTGGAATACTTTGTGAATTTTCTTTTTGTGAATTATTGTAGAAGTTTACAAAGCCCTCTGATCGGCTTAAATCTCTAAATATTAGGGGCCAAAGTAATACACGTGTGTGTGTGTGTCTTCTCCTTATCGCTCCTTCAAATACTAGAATAGGCGTTGTATTTATGCCATAATTCTCTAATGAAATACTCCACCTAACTGCTGTTCATCAACACACTGCTGTGCCAGATTAGCTAACTGCAAACATATTATATGGAAAAGGGAATTGCTGTCATTTTCAAAGCTAGAATTCCTTAAAGAATTGCTAAAGAAAACATGTTTGTCATGTCTGAACAATTTTTTTTAATTGTAACCTCTTGAGAAAGAAATCATTTTTCTTTGAACAGTCCAAAAACAAAGGAAGGTAACCAACTGTACATGTATTCCTTGACTTGCAACAGTTCATTTAGTAACTGTTCAAAGTTACAACAGCACTGAAAAAAGTCACTGATGATAATTTCTTACACCTATGACCATTGCATGGTCACGTGATCAAAATTCAAATGGTTGGCAACTGGTTCATATTTATGATGGTTACAGTGTCAAAGGGTCATGTGATCTGGTTTTGCAACCTTCTGAGAAGCGGAGTCAATGGGGAAGCCAGATTCACTCAACACCTATGTTACTAACTTAACAATTGCAATGATTCACTGAACAGTAGGCAAGAAAAGAAGTAAAATGGGGTAAAACTCACTTAGCAAATGTTTCACTTACGATACCAACATAAATGTTTGGCTCAATTGCAGTCATAAATTGAAAATTATTAAGATTTGAATTTGCAGCTGAAAATTAATGCATTTCATCATAGGAGTTCTCTAATTTCAAAAAATGCTTTGCAGAAATCTAGGGAGTAAGATTTGAAATATCCTAAATTCTAGGAAATTTTTCTAGACATACATAAAATTTTCCTTTTTAAGGTAGCACTTTCCCCTTCTACTCTATTCCAATGTAATGGTTATCCATTATAAAACTATGGATCTTCTTTTACTATAATCCTCAAACTTTAGAAGATTGTTGTATCTAATAGTGCCAGGCCCCTCACATCCATGTCCAGCCCTCTGGAGCTTGCCATGCCAGGGGAGGAATGAGACCCCGTTGAACCACAGAGCCCACCACTGCTTGAGCAGGGAGGACAAGGAGGAGGAGAAGGACAACAGCGGTGAGGCCTTGTGCCAGCCAGCTGGCCAGGTGGGGAGTAGGTAGGGTGGTGGGTGGGTAGGCTGGCTGGCTGGCTGGCTGGCTGGCTGGCTGGCTGGCTGGGGAGGGGGATCATGGCCGCTCAGATGGCCCCGCCGCAAGGAGCTTGGGTGTCCCGGCTCCGTCTGAGCAGGATGCGGGAGTCTATGGCGGGAGTCTATGTCCGGATGCCCCGCCGCTGTGACCGCCATAGATGTGGGACACCTCTGTCGGACACAGTGGCAGGGCGTTGGAAATCCCTGCCACTGTGTCCGACATAGAGCGGCTTTTGCCCGCTTGCCTCACCAGCACGTCACTGCAGCAAATAGCCTGAGCCTGTAAAGATGAAGTGAGGAAAGCTAAGGCTCACAATGAAGAAAGGCTTGCCACAAAAGTAAAAATTAACAAAAAAAGCTTCTTCCAACATGTTAAAAACAGGAAAAAGGTTAAGGAAACAATTGGTCCATTGCTAGGAGAAAGTGACAAGAAGGTGACAAGCAACCAGGAGAAAGCAGAACTATTTAACTCATGTTTTGCAGCTGTCTTTACACAAAGGGATAAAACAGTCCAACCTATCAAAAACAGCACCACAAAAATCAGATTAGGAACACAAATTGAAATAGGGAAGAAAATGATAAGTGAGCACCTGTCTACCCTAGACAAGTTTAAATCACCAGGACCGGGTGAATTGTACCCCAGAGTTCTGAAGGAACTGGCAGACAAGATCTCAGAACCATTGAATTATATCTTTCAGAGAACCTGGAACACCAGGAAACTACCAGAGGACTGGGAAAGAGCTGATGGTCCTTAGGCACAAAGAGTGCCTAATGCTGTAAATTGATTGTTCATTATGTTTAACATTTATTTGGTTTCATTTTTTTGGATTGCATTCTATCCAGAACCTGCCTATAAATTGAGAAGTCTTCAGAATGAAAATTGTATTTCTAACATTAAATCTTTCTTTCATATTCTTCTTAGCAGTTCCCTATGGTTCATTTGAGGCCTCAGAACAATAATGTAAAATTTGGGGAGAAAAATGCAACCCGGCATTCCAGCACTGGAAGATAAAATAGAAAATGTCTCCACAGCTACTGAGTATTTTCCCTTGGAGCTCATATAGGAAGGAACAAAACACTACAGAAAACCAACATGCTGAAAGTGATGAACTTTGCTTCGTTGAAGGTAACTTCCTGGCAAAAGTCACAGTAAAACAGGCAAAAGCCAAGAAGCCCAGGTAGCCCAACACAGAGTGAAACATGAGTACAGACCCTTCATTACATTCCAATACTATTTTTTTAGACATTAAAAGTATGTCAGCATTTGGGAATGGAGGGGAGTTTATTAACTACATGGCACAGATGAGTATTTGAATGAGAGAACAGGAAATTACAATATAATTGGCCAGTCTCCTTCCCACCAACTTTCTCAACCTAGATCCTGGCTTTGTGGCCATGAATGCCAAAATCACAGTGATAGTTTTGGCCAGTACACACAGAAGAGCCACTGAAAACACAACGCCAAAAGTAACTTGTCGGAGAAGACATGTCACCTTCTGGGGGAAGCCAATGAATAGCAGTGCACTAAGAAAACACAACAGAAGAGAGAAAAGGAGACTGTAGGTGAGGTTCCAATTATTGACTTTGATAATGGGAGTGTTGTAATGTTTTATAAATGCTCCAACCATCAAAGCTGTTATCAAAGAAAATAAAAGGGCAAGAAAAGCTAAACTGATCCCCAAATATCCATCATAAGATAAGTAGGTGAAGGTCTTAGGAATACAGATATCCTGGCTCTTGCTTGGATATTTTCCAGTTGTAGCAATCATTAATATCTGAAATATGGAATCAGTTTCATATAGTTAGAAAATGTATGCTACTATTATCTTCACAAATGAGCAAAACCAGCTTTTGTTACAACACTGAAAACTTTTTCACTTGGTGAACAGGATACCGAATAAACTTAAGTTGATTCTAGATTTTTTTTTTAAAGGAACAGTTTAAAGCCTTAAACTTTCAAAAAGCCTTTATGAAAAATTTCTGAATTTATTGAGGAGGGATAGAATAAGAAGACACACTCCATTTTCAATTGTTAAGCATTAAAGAAGCAACGACAAAGAAGCAAATATTTTAAACTGCACAGATAGATTGAGGATATGTTTGCACCATCTACCAAGAGGTGATTTCATGATTGATTATCTGGTGCAAAATACAATGGCTTATGTGTTTAATGGTCTCACTACTGCTAAGGACCATCACTGGCTTGGCAGCCCTAATTGTTTATACCACTTTTAAACTTCCTCAATTCATTATGGACTATATAAAATTCCAATAGGATGTAATATTTACATAAATGTGAATAACACCACATTTACCAGATAAATTTCCCCCTCCCCCATTGATCCTGGAGGAAAGGCCTGCAAAAGATGCTCTTATCATGAGGTATGATGGGAGCTACATGGAAGAAGGCAGTTCTGCTTCTTGGGAATATCTTATCGTCCAATGCAAGTCTTACTCTTATTCACTGAAGACAAAGCATTTGAAGACATTAGGCTCCATTTATAACAGTGGTGGTTTCCTACCGGTTTGGACTGGTTCAGCTGAACCGGTAGTGGTTTGGTGGCATGGGTTGCTAGAATTGGGAGTGACCCAGACCTACCATGCCCCCAAACTGGTTCTCCAGGCGGCGCCATAGGCTCTACCATCTTGTTTTCTGCTTATGTTCATGTACAGAACAATTTTTAGTGTACTGTGCATGTATGCACGCATGGCCATGAGTGAACTGGCAGTGGTGACTGCTGGAACCCACCCCTGATTTATAACAGCAAGGTTGTTAAAGTGCTTCTTCTTATGCTTAGGAATCCAAACTTAGTTAGGGTAGCTAACTTAGTTCTCATAACAAGTGAAAACTCTGATTATATACTGGTAGATCTGTCCATGAGAGGATCCAGAGAGTCATACCAGAGAAAATATAGAATTTGACCTAAAGTTTTTATAGGAAAAATAACTAACTTGGTGAAAAATATTGTGGTTTTTCCCCATACACATTTTGGATTGATGGGGCAAAATAAAATTTAATATTATACTTTGAGAAGTACAGTTAAATGAAGGCAATATTGTTACAAGAGAATATATAATAAATACTTTAAAATGTGCATTTTTTCTTACCATCAGTTTTTTTCAAATTAATTATTTCTTAGTATTTTGTTCAGGTCTCAATATCAAAATGAAACATTGGGGGCGCGGAGAATACAACCTAGCAATCCAGTGCTGGAGGCTAAAATGGAAAAAAATTTCCACAGCCACCATAATCTGCAAAGATTATAAATGTGAGGATTGATCAGAAAGTTAATTTTCATCAATTCAAAAGATTTCTAAGTAAGGTAGTCACTACCTATATGTATTTTCAGAGCTTTTGAGGATTCCAGAATTTCTTATCAAACAAGGAAGCAGATTATCTAACAAAATATATATTATACAATATAGATGGATAGATAATATAAATAGAGAAAAAAGAGAGATGCAATAGACACTATATAAAAATAAAAATAATAAGAATATAATATTGTAATAAAAACTAGAATAGTTTAATTATTGGATAGAAGTATAATCTTTATTGTCATTGTACTTAAATACAACAAAATTGGTTGTATATCATTATGTAAATTCCACTTGTAATTTTTAGTTCAGATTTGTTAGGATATACTGCAAATAAGTAAGTGTACAATACTAATTTCAATAATACCATAATAGTTTTGATTTGAGATTGGCAATGGATGTAGCAGCAGATGAGACATTATTAGAAAAATTTCAACACAAGAAGGTTGTTGACAAAAATAGGAGGCTCCAAATTCTTTTGTTCAATTGGTTTTCTTTAGTATTTGCCTTGTTTATCTTTTATTGTATTCAGTATGTACACCTAATGTTGGCTATAACTGTTTCCTGTTTAATAGTATATATGTTTGTCTTATACTATTTACATAGTATACTGTTTCATTATTTACCAGATGAAGCTTCCAGATACTCTGGAAAGCAGCCTCATCTACAGTGATTTATAGTAATCCAATATGAAAAAAAAAAGAGCAAAAGAAGAATGCCTGAAAATAAAGTTGAGGAATCCCCAAGGAACTGCAGATAGGAGCATGTTTGTTAGATACAAACCAGGGGTGGGTTTCTCGCCCCGTTCCAACCGGTTCAGTTGGAACAAGGCTGGCGGCGTCCTCGTGCATGCGCGTGGTGCACGCATGCATACGAGCATCTGCGCGATGCTCCAGCTGCTCCTGGAGGATCGCGCAGGCGCTGTATGCGTCCTGCGCATGCGTGGAAGTGCAGAACTCATCAAAACCGGGTAAGGACCGCGGGCGGGCGAGCGGGCCCTTCGCTGTTCCCGGAAGTTACTTACTTCCGGGTTCGCCAATCAACCGGTTCACAGGGACCGCCGCGAACCGGTTGAAACCCACCCCTGATACAAACAGAAGTTTTGTCTTTAACTTTGTTGGAAAATAGGAGATGAATTTTGAAGACCTTGGGATGAAATGTCAGTAAGTATGAATGCATTCTTTATAATGGTTCAATTCCAGTAACAACTTACATTCTTTGAATAAATTTATTTTAAACTTTATTTCATTTTTGAAAAAAATATTTTAAAAACTAATATATATATATATATATATAAGACAGATTTACGCTTATAACAACTTTTCCATATTGGTATCAATATCTTTCATAACAATCCTTCATACAAAAATTCTATCTCAATTTCACTATTCTAAGTTATATCCTTATTTAAGTTATAACAACATCAAATCAATATCATATATTTCTTATACCTTTTACATTCTATATATTATACTTCAACATTTTATGCCCTAAATTTTATGTTTATTCTCAAGCCAGGAATGCCGTCTATTCCAAATGTGATAGTACTTGGTTTCTTTCCTCTCCTTAATTTCCATAGACAGTCCATTCATATCTGCACATTCATACATTTTCCCTCTTATAGTAGGGTATGGAGGATTAATGTTTGCTCCAAATTCTGTGCTAAAATGATTCTACTTGCAGTTAGAATATTTAATGTTATGCATTGTAATTTTTTCTCCATTTTCCCATCAGAGATAACCAGGAGAAACAGTTCTGGCTTCAATCTATCCTTTGTTTAGGGATCTCTTTCAGCCACTTTCTTATCTTATGCCAATATTTCCTGACCTTAGGACAGGTCCATCACATGTGGTAGAGCGTTCCCTGCTTAAACCCACATCTCCAGCACTCCAGTGATAGGTTTGAGAACATCTTAGCCAACCTGACTGGTGGTAGATGCCATCGGTAAAATATTTCAGAGGTTCTCCTTATAATATTTCCCACCTATACTCCTTCTCCAGAAGAAGCCAATATTTTTATTCACTTCACCAATGAAAAAAACAGAGAAGAATATTTTTCTGAAACACTCTTCAGAAGAGTCAGAAACTGAAATGTTCATTGAAGGGTTTCCAATGTGATTCAGAAATCAAGTTTAAAAGAACAACTTTGGGACATTTTCATACAAAGCATGAGAAAATGAACAAGAAGTTGACATTTTTGTACTTCCTTGCACAGAGTAGCTTTAATTTCTTTCAAAACTAAATAGTACTCTCTCTGAGTAATGCAGAGTTACATTCCTATTCCATGATCTTCTATGAGGAGAAGCTGGAAAAATATACCAGTATTGATAGCAGCTATTATGTCAACAGAACACTTTCAGCGAAGGAGGCTTATTTATCTTGTAGTTGTTATATTTCATTATCGCGTCATTCCTTTAGTCTATCTTCAACTCCTATAACAACCCGCTATTATAAGGACTATTAAGAAAATAGGGAAACACTTTGTTTCATATGCTCGTAATTAAATCGTAAAATATTTGCACACTGAATTTCACATAAATGTCTTTTTGTGTGTATTTTCAAATTTAAAGTATAACATAGCACATCTAGACAAACAACCTAGCACATCAGGGTCCCCAATCTGTAGGCTGCAGCCCACTATCAACATTTGTAGTTCCATTCGTGCAGGTGGCATGTGTGCACATTCGCCAGTCACACAGATGAGGCTGTGCATGTGCACATGCACCTGCCCCTCACACAAAACCATTCCTTCTTCCTCCTTCCTCCCCATGCCAGATGGCCAACCCAGAAAAGTTGGGAAACATTGGTATAGAGTTAACTTTCTGTGAAATTTCAGGTTATTTTAGTGAGGCCTCTGTGGGACTCACTAAAGTATGCTTGCCATTCCTGAAAAAGTGATATAAATTTACATTGTTATAACTCCGAAAAAATGATAAATATGGAGAAATATTTAAAATAGGTTCCTGGGACTTATCATGTTATGATTCTTTAATGTTATTTAAATGAATAAGAGAAGAGGAAATGGAGGAGGAAGAAAGAAGAAAAATTAGATCAAATGAGTACCATATAGTGGAGCTTTGTCATACATATTTGTATTTAACATTTTTATTGAGTTATAATTGTCATGGCCCCGTTGGAGCCTAAGTCCACGGAGGAGGATGAGATGGAACTGGAACCAGTGGAGGTTGAGGAGGCAGTGCCTGGTCCCTTGGGCTTGGGACAGCTTGCCAACAGGGAGGAACAGGATGATCAAGAGAGTGGGGAAGAGAGGGCAGGCAGTAGAAATGAGAAGCGATGGAACTCATAACTCAGGTTATGAGCAAGGACTGCATCCTCCTGATCCCTGAGCATGGAGAGGGGAGAAGAGGTGAGGACAATGCAGACCAATCTGATGATTCAGGAGGAGAGCACCCCACCCCTCTTCATAAGGCACACCTGGTCCCTGAGACTTAAGGAGACACTGTGGGGGGGGATGCTATTCAGGAACAAGCACTGAATTCATGGAGTTTTGTGTGCCATTGCCAACATCTGGATTTCATTGGACTTCTTGCCTTCTCATTGCCTTGTTCCTTTGCGTTGTGGACTCATTGCTTGCTTCTTTGCTTCGTGAACTCACTGTCTTGCTCTTTTGCTTCATGGACTCATTGCTTTGTTCTCTTGCCTCATTGGACTTATTTCCTTGAAGCCATTATGCTAACAGCATTTTGCTGGACTGCTTGCAGACAGAGGGAGCTGGAGGTGTGTGTGTGAGTGCTTTGCTCCAGGACTTGCTGTAAACGTGGGAGCGTTTGGGGGGAAGTTGGAGCAATAAAGGGGAGTTTGAACTATCAGCTGACTGTGTTGCCTCTGTGCCTTGCTTTGGGTGATCACAATAAGATACAAAATACAAAAGTAAATAGGAAAGCAGTGAGAAGGAAGGGAGATAAGAAAAGTGAGGAAGGGTTAGGAAAAAGAAAAAGAAATGTTGACTTCTGATTCTCTCTGTTGCAGTAAAATAAGGCATTAACATCAAGCCATAACTTTTTTATAATAATATAAACTAGCCGTTTCTATAAAGAATCTATCGATCTAATTGGTAAAACCCAAAATCAAAGCTTCATTTTTTTCCCCACTTCAAGCAGTCATACAGATTTGACAAAGGTCAGTTCCCACAAACTACAGCATGCAATCTAGACAAATTCAGACATGTTCTACCAAGTTTTGTTAATATATAAAAATAATAGCTATAATATTGTTAATTAATGAAAGAAGCATAGCTATATTAGCAAAAGCAACCAAGGAACATCCATTGCAAGGGGTAGTTAGGTTTAGGGCATTAATGAAACTAGATTTTACTTCTGGAGCATGTCTCAAAATCCAGCTGGTGTGGGCACTAATCCGAATATAAATACCAGGACGTTTGGGGGCAGCACAAACATCTCCCCAGCTCACTACACCAGCCAAAACCCAATCTCCATTCCATGGACAAAGCAATGGTCCCCCTGAATCCCCCTGTAAAATAAAGGAATAAAACATTAATCTCCAAGAATATAACATCTACTGTCAGGTTCTTATATATGACTGATAGGTGAGTCTTACTTCAACCTTAGATATATGATCATATCACACTACCCAAAGGCTTTGATCAAGACAGTCTAGATGGGGCAAAGTGCTCTGGATTCCAAGAAAAGAAAATGATGAGTGGATTCAATATATATTGTATTCCATATATACTAGAAGGGCAGAGATTCTCATTCCTATGGTAGCAATTTTACTGTCCCCATCTTCAGACCAATCAGCACCTTGTTGCTTGGAAAGCTAGCAGCTCAGGTTCAAGACCTGAACTGCACATGGTATGGTGAGTTCCTGTCCTCACTCCAGCTCCTGTCAACCTAGCAGTTTGAAATCAATCAAATGCAAGTAGAAAAATAAGTAGCAATTTGGTGGAAAGATAACAGTGCTCTATAAGATGATGGCTACATGACCATGGAAATGTATTTGGGCAGTGCTGGCTCAATGTTCTTGAAAGAGAGCTGAACACCGCACCCTGATAGTTGGCAATGACTATCTGAGTAAAATCTGCAGGGATTCATTTACCTTTCCCTTCACCTATATGTATTGTTGTGATAAAAAATGCAATATGCTTAAAATGAATAAAAAAGAATGTTAGATTCTATAGTGGTTAGGTGACTGGGCCTACAAACAAAGAAACTGTGAATTTTAGCCCATTCTAGGCACAAAACCAGTTGGGTAGTCTTGGTCAAGTCATTCTCTCTTATCCCTAGGAAGAAGGCAAGGGCAAGCCCTCCCACAAAATCTGGCCAAGAAAAGAGACTTTTCCAGGCAATCAACAGAAGTCAACAATGGCTCAAAGGCACATGCGTACAAATGATTATTACCTGGCAAGCATCCTTCCCTCCTTCCATGTAGCCTGCACATATCATGTCATCTTTTATTACTTCCACTATCCCAGGCTTTTTGTAGTCACTGTAAAGAGTCTCACAGGTAGCCCTGTCAATAAGGGGAAGAAGCACTTCCTGCAAAAGCTCAGGTTCAGGAAGTGGGACTGGGAAAAAGAGAAAATAAATATATTTCTTCAGATTGCATCAAAGAAGAAAGTAGAACATCTATGTAAAAGAATGAATTTTAGCACACTGAACAGTTTGTCAATACATTTATTGCTGAAATTTAAGCAAAGTTAAACTATTAAACAATTCATCATCATGCTCTTCTTTAAACAATTATTTAAATACACAAATTCTAAACAACAATTAAAGGTGCATAAGCCCATTTTATCTTGCATTTGTCCAGGCAATTATTAAAATCTTTGATAACTTAGTTCTCTTTTTACTTGTTGTTTTTCCTCCAAAAAAAGTATTATTTTATGTTAGGCTTCACAAATCCATCTCAAAATATTGCTCCATTCCAACAGAGCCAATTAGTAGAAGTTTGGGGCAGGATAAGGTTCTAATTGTGTGTGTATGTGCATTAAGGATTTTGTGCTTAACTTGTTTCTGGCTTGTATTTAAAATACAAGCATTTTTTTTTAAAGATCTACCAAAAAATGACCACCATTGGATGAAATAGGTTTACATTTATGACAAAAACACATATAATTTGTTTAATGACTAAAATGACTCACTTCACAACCAGGGACGTGCAGTCAGGGGAGGCAGGGGAGGCAGAGCCTCACCACGGTCATCATGAAAAGAAAAAAAATGTAAAAGGAAAAAGGCAAGAGCTTAGGTCAGGCTGAGCTAGT